CCTGCCGTGACCTCACTGTACGCTGCTCACACATGCGTGCACACTGCAAAACCCTGCACGCGTTGCTCTACTACAAATGTATAACAACCCCCACCACTACCCACTCAGTCTAAAATAAACTTGTCTTTATCCCAGAGTTGCTATGTCTCAAGAGGAAAAAATGTCTCACGAGGAGCCTAAAGTGGGGGCCGGGCCTGAAGAGAAAACGGGCTTGTCCTAACGAGAAAGTAGTGGGGCCTAAAGAGGAGGGGTAGGGCCTAAAGAGGAGGGTGGGGGAAAAACAACTGCATTGTGCAATTGAACCATGAGCCCTCTGTTGTTGTATGCAAATAAAATCTTAGAATCAAGCAAGTGAAGCAGGAAGCAAAGATGTAATGTCGCAGATGCAGCCACAGGTCAACTAGTAGATTTACACTCAAGTGGAAATGTGCCTTCGGTAATTGAGGTTGAATATTTGTGTGAGGGATTTATATTTATATCTGTCACAACCACAAGTGCAAATGCAGGTATCTCGTCTTTTGTGGATGATGATGTCTAGCTTATGCAATATGTGTAGTTCAAATGTGGGACTAAATGAGAAATATGGACGATGACTTTAACATTTATAAGGTTGGTATATGAAGGAAGAAGTGATTGGTGTTATTGGTGTATTTAGAAGATACGTTTTACTATTATGTTAAAAGGTATGTTTTGCTGATCAAAAATGAGAATTATACCCATTGACAATATCTTGTTTTGTGGATAGTTCTTTGTTATCCAGAAAGAGTTCTTTGGTAGCATATGTTGCTTCCCTTTGTTTCCAATTGAATTGAATGTTTACCAGAAGCGTCGTGGGGCTTTTTTGTGCGATTTTAGAATAGTTTGATAATAGATTAAAGATTTAGCATTTCTCGCTTAGCAAGTTCATTTACTTTTTTCGATAGGTAATTCAATCAAGGAGGTTGTTCGATGTTCATTCTCTGATCTTTAATCTGGACTACAGTAATTATCTTCTTCTTGGTCTCCATACCTTTGCCATCACTCCACTCCCACAAATACAAAAAATGCTTCTGCACGAGTTATTTTCAATATCGCCTTTTAATTATCACACTTTGCCTATCCTTCAATTCCACTAGCTTCCCGTTTTCTACCGCTGTATTTTAAAATATCCGATGCTAGTCTTTACATCTCTTCATGGTCTTTCCCCACCTTATTTTGCTTCTCTCATCTTCCATCTCCCCTCTCGTCCGATTAATTCCCAATCTTCTCTCCGTGTCTTTCTGTCTCTCCTTATATTTGTACCCAATCCCGTTTTCGGTCCTTCTCCTTCCTTGCTCCCCTCAACTGGAATAAACGTCCATTGTACGTTAAGCAGTCCCCTCCTTAACCTCCTTCCATTCCTCTCTACGGGTCTCCCTAACTTGTGTGTTGCGTTGTGTTTTGTGGGCGTCTGTATGTTCAAAATGTCCATGGCGGGATGGGGCGATCGCGGGGGTTGCGTAAGTGTGTGAGGGCTGACGCCCTCCTCCTCCTCTCCTCCCTCCTCCTTGGCCACTTCCTGCAAGGCTGCCGCCGATCGAGTGATCGGCCCCCCCGCACCAGCGTCCTCTCTGAGGGACATGGCTAGTGGCTGGCTCACCACCACCTGGAGTTATCCCACACACTCCCCACATACACCACCACTAGTGCAGAGGTGGCTGCGTGCACGTCCGTGCCCGAAGAGGCGCACCTTCGCTCACCACGGCTCGCGCTAAAAATAGCCGTATGAATATGCATGCGCCCCTCTTCCCTCCTGTTGGGTCGGCTTTAATCCGCTGTGCGAACACGCACACCGAGCACAAGCACGCGGCCAAAACGACGGCCGTATTGATGATAATATACGCGAGCCCCACCGTTAATGCGATCGTCGCTACATAAACACACTGCGTAAAACGCGCTGTGTAAACAGGCACGCGAGCGTCAGCGATAGTGTATGATTGAATACACGCGCGCTTCACACCCATGCACATACTCACACCACACCTACGCTCTCCCCACACACACAGAAATCACACCACACCGATCCTCTGTGCTAAAATTTATTAATGGGACGTCTACAGCAAGCGCTGGGCGGCCCGGAGTAAATACCCAATGAGCAGTGCCTAGCCTATCCCTATTCAATCCCTGGGTGTACCCTTGCTCTACTCCCCTCGTAGACGTACTCACGGTGTCGCACGAATGCGGTGGGAGTAGGAGGGACGAGGGTACGAGAAGTCTCTGCCTGGAGTCAAGTCGTAGCGGCACTCGCCAGCGTCCCTCGGACGCTGCGAGCAGCTGGGAGTCCAACCGGGTAGCTAAACGGCTGGAGGAGCACTACCCAACGTTTTTTCCCTTCCTCCTCTCATGCCCTCGGAATCCAAAAATCCAGGGTCACGTGGTGTTATCCTGTGCGGCCAATCGGGCGCCTACTTTTCGATTTTCAACTGATGCCCCGCCCCTACCTGGAGCGTTGCTTTCCATTACGCCTTGATCCATTGTCTACGCGCCCGTCCTCCCCACCCCGGACTCAACCGGTTTGATCGGGGCGGTCGACCCGGGTCCATAGCTTCAGTCGGTCCAGGAATTTCCCTCCCACCTCCTCTTATGCGCTGTTCACCGGGTATTTACCCCCAAGGCCCTATCTCTCTGTGCTGTGGGTGCTCTCATTGCAGTTTGCTGGGTGAGCTTCGTCATGCCCATACAATTTTAAGCTAATTCAAGGGGGCCGCAATGCAATTCAGCCTGGGGGGGGTCGGGCAATCTCCTGGCACTGGGAAACCGTGGGACATCCCTGCTAGGGACCCCTCGGGTAAAAACCCATGGTACCAGGTGACCCCCCCCCCCCCCACGAGACCCTACGTGGGTGCACGTGTGTGTTTAGTGGGGGGGGGGGGGGTGTGTCCGTTCGTTTGTGTGGAGGGGTGTGAGGGGATAGCAGCGCAGGCGGAGTTGCTCCGTTGCTGTGACACCACACGTGTGTTGTTCGGATTTTGGCGTTATTGTGTTATTGTATTTGTCATGGGTTTGGTTGTGTTGGTCAGCATTGGGTTTCTAAAGTGTAAGTTGTTCCTTCAATCCTCAAACGATTGGTATGCGTCATATTAAATGGGTGTTTCGGCCTTGAAGGAATTTGTCTGAAATTGTGTTAGCCGAGGCCAGCTTCTTTTTTAAGGAGATGGGGGGGGTGATGTAATGACAGTGCGGAGCGATAGCGGGACAGTACGGTTCCTTCGGACCATGGTTATTAATGGACATGCTAATGATGATTTATGAGACAAGCGTTGACAGGGTCACGTGAGGGGGAGCATGGGATCCAAGCGTAATAAGGGCGGTGATCGGCAGAGCCATGTGCGGTGAGGAGAATTTGGGAATAAGGGCGTGGCCAGACTGGGAGAGGATAAGTAGCAGCGTGAGCGGAGGCTTGGGGCTGCTTGTTGTGGGGAACGGTCGTCGTCGTCGCCTTGGATCAGAACGTCTCCATCGTCTGTGAGTTGTCTTGAGATTAGAAGCTATGTCGTCTCTGAATAAAGTTGCCTAATCTACCCAAGTGTACAGAGTCACTCGCGGTTACTTGTTTAGTTTTCGTTTTACTTTATTTTTAATAAATATACAGAAGACAAGACGGCATCTCTGAGAGCCACATTACACATTTAAATTTGATTAGTTGAAGGAGGGGAGCTCTTATGCCTGCTTTGGGAGCTCGCCATATCCTTTCCCAGGCCTGTGGTGTGATCTCATGGGGCACAGACCCATCTCATAATTTATTAGTCACCGGTCTCAAGACAGGGTCACCCTCGCCTTGGAGCCAATAGGCAATCGGGTAAACTGTATTTGTCTTTAGGAGCCTCTAACCAATTAATAATTGGATGGGTTAATATCCTAATTTCTTGTCCGGGGATTTCACTATAGCATCCCTAATTTGAAAATACCTAAAAAAATTGGGAGTGTGGAATATCATATTAAACTCGCACCTCCTCAAGAGGCCAACACCCTTCCGTCCAGAGATAATAGATACATAACCTTATCCAAAACAAATATTTCCCAACTGTCCCAATTTATGAGCTTTCCCCCCTATCGTCAGTAAATGGCTGCCCCATATTGTCGACCCCTGTGAAGAGGGGTTTGCAGGTATGTTCCTCGGTCCCTGCAACTTGCCAATGTCGAAGTGACTTCCAAAGAGGTTGTATCCCTCGAAGTCTTATTTTGTTACGACCCAATGCAAATCCCTCAAAGGAGCAAGGTCGAACCGACTCTGCCAGCTCTTGGCAATTACTTGCTTCCGGGTGTCGACCCAGCATTTCACTGATACTCCATTTAAATACAAGCCCTTGTCTGGAGTAAGGAATGGAGCCTGAACAGGGGGAAGATATATTCTTGATTCTTTCGGTAAAGTCACGTAGAAGGGAAACAATAAATTAATAAAAAAATATAAAACTATAGAATTCTCACGAGGTTTCGACTGCAACACAAGCAATCAAATTTCAAAATTTCTTGCTGTGGTTTTCACACCTGATGATGCTTGCTTGTGTTGCAGTCGAAACGTCGTGATAATTTTATTGTTTTATATTTTTATTATTGTATTGTTTCCCCTCTACCTGACTTTACCGAAAGAACCAAGAATATGAATCCCTGCAGTCACGAAAGCTTTAAATCATAATTTATTGGGAAGAGAATCAAGAGAAATTGCCAGGGCCTGAAGAGAGAGGGGCTGGGTCTAAATAGGAGGATGGGGGTGGGGAACGCAAATGTGCATGGAGTATACTTCAACAATGAGCTCATTTAGAATTTTGGAAATGAAAGAATATGAAACAAGTGCAGCTGGCAGCAGAAAATGTAATGCCACAGATGCAGCCACAGGCCACGTCGTAGATATTCGTTGAAAACTTGCATTTGTTACTGTTGGAACTCATAGAAGTTGTTAATAGCCATTTGATGTTTATTTGTCAAGCCTACGAAATTATGATTTAATGTTTTTAATTTATATTTTATTTCCTCTTTTACAGGTGATACAAAACCCACAAATCCTCTGGAATTGGTATCCCGGCAAGGTAAGGAACTGTATATTTATAGCAGTTCATGCCACATCAGGTCACTTACTGGTAACCTCAGGCAGGAGATGTTTTTGTACAATACAAATAATAACATTCTTCATCGGGATCCTATGGCAATACATACCAAAATACACTGTGAGAAGTTGAGGCATCTAATGTGTTGGATTAATCAATTGAAGACGTCGTATCATGATGATATGAGAAGATTCAAGTGGTGAAATTTGTTTACTAGAGAGAAATTAAATATCTTATTTTAGAGGCATTTCCACTTCTGAGCAGATTAATTGCACCTGAAGATCAATCAGGAGCACATCTTAAATACTGTTCTCTAACCTTAACTTTTAAATTACGCACTTTTCAGGCCTTTGCCTATATTAATGCAATTAATTATTAAATTAGTCTGAGAGGGATTTTGGTTGTTATGAAGCCTTCCCACCCCTACCTAATGTCCCCACCCACCACTACCTGCTGCTGCTCAGACACTTGCCCCCTTCTATAACCCCCACGACTACCCACTCACACATCCTCAAATCAATCAGGCTTCATCTCCGAGTTGCCAACTCTCATGTGGAAAATGACTGGCGCTGCTTTTAAATACAAGCCCTTGTCTGGAGTAAGGGATGGAGCCTGAAAAGGGGGAAGTGAATCAAGAGAAGTTGTTAGGGCCTGAAGAGAGAGGGGCTGGGTCTAAATAGGAGGATGGGGGTGGAGAACTCAAATGTGCATGGAGGACACTTCAACCATGAGCTCATTTAGAATTTTGGAAAGTAAAGGAAATTATTAAACAAGTGCAGCTGGCAGCAGAAAATGTATTGCCACAGATGCAGCCACAGACCACGTCGTAGATATTTGTTGAAAACTTGCTTTTATTACTGTTGGAACTCATAGAAGTTGTTAGTAGTAATTTGATGTTTATTTGTCAAGCCTACGAAATTATTATTTAATGTATTTAATTTATATTTTATTTCCTCTTTTCCAGGTGATACAAAACCAACAAATCCTCTGGAATTGGCATCCCAGCAAGGTAAGGAACCTACATTATAGACCTCATTTGCTAGTACCAAAATATAAAAATAGGGTTTTTCCCCTTGTTTCTGGTAACAAAACTGAAACCTTTTTACAAGGAATCATGTGTGCATTAACCACAATACTTGTGGTCAAAATGCAAACAAAAAAGCGGAAAAACCCTATTATTATATTTTGGTACTGGCAAAGGAGCTGTAATGATGTAGATGCTTACCCCGAGCCCTGATTACTTTTATAGTGCATTGTCTTTGAGCTGTACGCCTTTTGGCGTCCTCTGGTCTTGCACCAATTGAGACGAGGCTCAAAAGAAAGCCATCGCTGGTGTGGACCAATCACATTCGAAGACAATGCATCATATTATCAGCGTGTGTTTTTTGTTTGCATTTTGACCGCAAGTATTGTGGTTAATTTTCGATTTAAAGCTTTCGTGACTGCAAGGATTCATCTTCTTTGGTTCTTTCGGTAAAGTCACGTAGAATGAGAATAAAATAATAAAAGAATATTATAAAACAATAAAATTCTCACGACGTTTCGGCCACAACACAAGTAGCCGTCCTCAGGTGAAGAAACAGGAATGTCCAGACGACAGCGCTTGAGTGAACCCTGTCAAGCTTGACAGTGTCTTTTAATCTGTGTGGGAGGAACAGAGAGCCTTGACAAAGGAGCATGTAACTGGGAGATTAGCATTATGGAGAGCGAACGAGCTGGGACTGGAGGAGGGGGGAGGGGAGTTTACATATATATTAGCATGTAACTGGGGGATCAGCATGATGTTGGTGTGAGGGATTAGCACCACGGCGAACGACGAGCTCGGACCGGGGGACGGGGGGAGAGGAGTTTACATATAAATTAGCATGTAACTGGGGGGTTAGCGTTGGTGTGAGGGAGAGAAGAGCACCAAGGAGAGAAAATGGTGGTTTTTCCCATCTCCTCAACAACCAGCACCAAGGACAGCGACATTCAGGCAGACGGGTCATACCATACTCGGAAGGGAGGAGGGGGGAGGGAGAAACAGTCACAATGCCAGCGAAAGAGCTGCGGCCTGACGGTCACCGCAAAATACAATTAATTAAGAACCGAAACATCGGATTGGGAACATGTAGACAATATGACTACCTCTTCGGCTGCCACTATGTCGACCAAATGTAGGGACAATTTGATTTCCAAATTCAATCACCTCTCCAACAAAAAATCGGATCCACACACCGAAAAGATAGACGTTAACAAAGTCGTAATTAATCGCAGTAACAGTTCCATTTCTGATGGCCTGAAATCCGTTTTAGCTAAAGGCCTAAAATATGCTATCACACCGAGACGTATACCGGTTAATGATATCATTGCCCATGTAGACGTTGCACTCAAGGGCTTCAGTCACATCTCTGCAGACGTAGCAAGATCTGAAATCGCTGCAACCCTCAAACACGCAAAGTTGCCACCTAGCAACATCAGCAAAGATGAACGCTTTGAATTATCCCAATTAAAAAAGAAAGATGATATTGTCGTCCTCTCAGCCGACAAGGGCAATGCCACTGTCATCATGGACAAAACAGAATATAACAACAAAATTCAAGAACTACTCAACGACGGCAGCTATACAAAACTAAAAAAGAGATCCCACCAACAGCCTGGTTACCAAAACGAACAAAATCATCTCTGATTCAACAGCATTAATTGATCAGACGAAACAGTTATCATTGAAACCCTCTGCTGCCAGACCTCCAAGATTATATGGCCTTCCAAAGATACACAAAGAAGATACACCCCTTCGTCCCATCGTCTCTACTATCAACTCCCCCACCTATAAACTGGCACGTTTTCTTGCTGATATACTGCGACCTTAGCACTGGAAAAACCACCTCTGTGGTACTAAATTCTACTCACTTAGTATCGACAATCAAAGGCATTTCCCTGTCCCCAGACGACCTGCTTGTCAGTTTTGATGTGGTGTCCTTGTTCACCAAAGTTCCGGTACCTGACACCATCGCTATCATTGAAGACCTGGTCCATCAAGGACTACATACTGATGTACCCCCCGTGGTGAGACATTGCTTAATCAACACATACTTCGCCTGGAACGGAACTTTCTACAAACAGACTGAGGGCACCCCAATGGGCTCCCCCCTGTCTCCGGTTGTAGCCAACGTATTCATGGAAAAATTTGAAACTGACGCCATCCAGACTGCCACTCTACGCCCGACCTTATGGAAGAGGTACGTGGATGACACTTTTGTCATCTGGCCACATGGCCAGCCTGCTCTAGACCAATTCCGCGACCACATCAATTCCATACACCCAGCCATCAGATTTACCATGGAGGTCGAAAAAGATGGCAAGCTACCCTTTTTGGATGTCTTAATTAAAAGGAGACCTGATGGCTCAATGAGCCACACTGTCTACAGAAAAGCTACCCATACAGATGCTTACTTGAAACCGGATTCCCACCACCATCCATCCCAGAAGAACTCCCTCATCAAGACTCTATACCATAGAGCTCAATGCATTTCCGACCAGGAACACATTGCCAGTGAACTCAAACACGTACACCAGGCTCTCAGGGCTAATGGTTACTCCAACTACACAATCCGCAAAGCCATCACCCCAGTCATGAAGAAGGATCCTCTTGAGGGGCCACTCAAAACCATCACCTTACCCTACATTGCAGAGGTTACTAAAAAGATCTCCAAAATCCTGAATAAACATAAGATCCAGGTCCGATTCAACACAGTACATAAAATCCGTGATCTGGTTCCATCTGTAAAAGATGCTGTTCCAGACATACAGTACCCGGGCGTTTACAAACTAAAGTGCCTCTGTGGTAGCAACTACATTGGGGAAACCAAACGACATATCTCGGACCGCATCCGTGAACATAAAGCAGACTTGAAACACGGCAGAACGAACTCTTCTGCCGTGGCAGATCACTGTTATAATTCAGTGGGTTCACATGACATTGACTTCTCCGAGACGGAACTTCTTTGCAAGGCAACCATGAGAGATTAGTTCATGAAGCCATCCACATATGCAAACACAGAGACAATTTCAACCGAGAGGATGGATTCTGGCTTAGTAACCATTGGAAAGATGTTTTAAACCATTTCGGTTCTTAATTAATTGTATTTTGTGGTGACCATCAGACCGCAGCTCTTTCGCTGGCATTGTGACTGTTTCTCTCTCCCCCCTCCTCCCTTCCGAGTATGGATTGACCCGTCCACCTGAATGTCGCTGTCCTTGGTGCTGGTTGTTGAGGAGATGGGAAAAACCACAATTTTTTGTCTCCTTGGTGCTCTTCTCTCCCTCACACCAACGCTAATCCCCCAGTTACATGCTAATTTATATGTAAACTCCTCTCCCCCCACCCCCCGGTCCGAGCTCGTCAATCGCCGGGGTGCTAATCCCTCACACCAACATCATGCTGATCCCCCAGTTACATGCTAATTTATATGTAAACTCCCTCTCCCTCCTCCTCCAGTCCCAGCTCGTTCGCTCTCCGTAATGCTGATCTCCCAGTTACATGCTCCTTTGTCAAGGCTCTCTGTTCCTCCCACACAGCTTAAACGACGCTGTCAAGCTTGACAGGGTTCACTGAAGCGCTGTCTTCTGGACAGTCCTGTTTCTTCACCTGAGGACGGCTACTTGTGTTGTGGCCGAAACGTCGTGACAATTTTATTGTTTTATTATATTATTTTATTCTCATTCTACGTGACTTTACCGAAAGAACCAAAGAAGATGAATCCTTGCAGTCACGAAAGCGTTAAATCGAAAATTAACCACATTTCTTGCGGTCAAAATGCAAACAAAAACACACGCTGATAATATGATGCATTGTCTTTGAAAGTGATTGGTCCACACCAGCGATGGCTTTCTTTTGAGCCTCGTCTCAATTGGTGCTAGACCAGAGGACGCCAAAAGGCGTACAGCTTAAAGACAATGCACTATCAAAGTAATGAGGGCTCGGGGTAAGCATCTACATCATTACACCTCCTTTGCCAGGACCAAAATATAATAATAGGGTTTTTCCGCTTTTTTGTTTGCATTTTGACCACAAGTATTGTGGTTAATGCACAGTTAGTTTTGTTGCCAGAAAAAAAGAGGAAAACCCCAATTATTAGGTAAGGAACCGTATAATTATCGCAGTTTGTGCCACATCAGGTCACTTACTGGTAACCTCAGGCAGGATATGTTTTTGTACAATACAAATAATAACATTCTTCAGCGGGATCCTATGGCAATACATATCGAAATACACCGTGAGAAGTTGAGGCATCTAATGTGTTGGATTAATCAATTGAAGACGTAGTATCATGATGATGTGAGAAGAATCAAGTGGTGAAATTTGTTTACGAGAGAGAAATTAAATAACTTATTTTAGAGGCATTACCACTTCTGAGCAGAGGCATTGCACCTGAAGATCAATCAAGTGCACATCTTAAATTATATTCCCTAACCTTCACTTTTTAATTACACACTTTTCAGGCCTTTACCTATATTAATGCAATTTATTATTAAATTGGTCTGAGAGGGATTTTGGTTGTCATGAAGCCTTCCCACCCCTACCTAATGTCCCCACCCACCACTACCTGCTGCTGCTCAGACACTTGCCCCCTTCCATAACCCCCACGACTACCCACTCACACGTTCTCAAATCAATCAGGCTTCAACTCAGAGTTGTCAAGTCTGATGGGGAAAAAGACTGGTGCTGCCTTTAAATTCAAGCCCTTGTCTGGAGTAAGGGATGGAGCCTGAACCGGGGTAGGAGAATAAAGATAAACTGTCAGGGCCTGAAGAGAGAGGGGCTGGGTCTAAATAGGAGGATGGGGGTGGAGAACTCAAATGTGCATGGAGTACACTTCAACCATGAGCTGATTTAGAATTTTGGAAATTAAGGAATAATATTAAACAAGCGCAGCTGGCAGCAGAAAATATAATGCCACAGATGCAGCCATTGGCCACGCCGTAGATATTCGTTGAAAACTTGCATTTGTTACTGTTGGAACTCGTAGAAGTTGTTAATAGCCATTTGATGTTTATTTGTCAAGCCTACGAAATTATGATTGAATGTTTTTAATTTATATTTTATTTCCTCTTTTACAGGTGATACAAATCCAACAAATCCTCTGGAATTAGCATCCGAGCAAGGTACGGAAATGTTAAATTATAGCAGTTCATGCCACATCAAGTCACTTACTGGTAACCTCAGGCAGGAGATGTTTTGGTTCAATACAAATAATAACATTCTTCATCGGGATCCTATGGCAATACATACCAAAATATACTGTGAGAAGTTGAGGCATCTAATGTGTTGGATTAATCAATTGAAGACGTCGTATCATGATGATATGAGAAGATTCAAGTGGTGAAATTTGTTTACTAGAGAGAAATTAAATATCTTATTTTAGAGGCATTTCCACTTCTGAGCAGATTAATTGCACCTGAAGATCAATCAGGAGCACATCTTAAATACTATTCCCTAACTTTCACTTTGTAATTACACACTTTTCAAGCCTTTGGCTATTTTAATGCAATTGATTATGAAATTGCTCTGAGAGGGATTTTGGTTGTCATGAAGCCTTCCCACCCCTACCTAATGTCCCCACCCACCACTACCTGCTGCTGCTCAGACACTTGCCCCCTTTCATAACCCCCACGACTATCCACTCACACGTCCTCAAATCAATCACTCTTCATCTCAGAGTTGCCTAGTCTCATGGGGAAAATGACCGGTGCTGCCTTTAAATACAAGCCCTTGTCTGGTGTAAGGGATGGAGCCTGAACAGGGGGAAGAGAATCAAGATAAATTGTCAGGGCCTGAAGAGAGAGGGGCTGGGTCTCAATAGGAGGTTGGGGGTGGAGAACTCAAATGTGCATGGAGTACACTTCAACCATGAGCTGATTTAGAATTTTGGAAAATAAAGAATAATCTTATACAAGTGCAGCTGACAGCAGAAAATGTAATGCCACAGATGCAGCCACAGATGCAGCCACAGGCCACGTCGTAGATATTCGTTGAAAACTTGCATTTGTTACTGTTGGAACTCATATAAGTTGTTAATATCCATTTGATGTTTATTTGTCAAGCCTACGAAATTATGATTTAATGTTTTTAATTTATATTTTATTTCCTCTTTTACAGGCGATACAAAACCAACAAATCCTCGGGAATTGGCATCCCAGCAAAGTAAGGAACCGTAAAATTATAGCAGATCATGCCACATCAGGTCACTTACTGGTAACCTCAGGCACGATATGTTTTGGTACAATACAAATAATAACATTCTTCATCGGGATCCTATGGTAATACATACCAAAATACACTGTGAGAAGTTGAGGCATCTAATGTGTTGGATTAATCAATTGAAGACGTAGTATCATGATGATATGAGAAGAATCAAGTGGTTAAGTTTGTATACTCGAGAAAAATTAAGTAACTTATTTTAGAGGCATTTCCACTTCTGAGCAGATTAATTGCACCTAAAGATCAATAAAGATCACATCTTAAATTCTATTCCCTTACCTTCACTTTTTAATTACACACTTTTCAAGCATTTGCCTATATTAATGCAATTGATTATTAAATTGGTCTGAGAGGGATTTTGGTTGTCATGAAGCCTTCCCACCTCTACCTAATGTCCCCACCCACCACTACCTGCTGCTGCTCAGACACTTGCCCCCTTTCATAACCCCCACGACTATCCACTGACACGTCCTCAAATCAATCAGGCTTCAACTCAGAGATCTGGCGCTGCCTTTAAATACGAGCTCTTGTCTGGAGTAAGGGATGGAGCCTGAACAGGGCGAAGAGAATCAAGATAAATTGTCAGGGCCTGAAGAGAGAGGGGCTGGGTCTCAAAAGGAGGTTGGGGGTGGATAACTCAAATGTGCATGGAGTACATTTCAACCATGAGCTGATTTAGAATTTTGGAAAGTAAAGAATAATCTTAAACAAGTGCAGCTGACAGCAAAAATGTAATGCCACAGATGCAGCCACAGATGCAGCCACAGGCCACGTCGTAGATATTCGTTGAAAACTTGCATTTGTTACTGTTGGAACTCATATAAGTTGTTAATAGCCATTTGCTGTTAATTTGTCAAGCCTACGAAATTATGATGTAATGTTTTTAATTTATATTTTATTTCCTCCTTTACAGGTGATACAAAACCAACAACTCCTGTGGGACCGGCATCCCAGCAAGGTATGGTACCGTAGATTAGAGCAGTTCATCCCATATTAGGCCACTTACTGGTATCATCAGGCAGGAGATGTTTTGGTACAGCACAAATAATAACATTCTTCATCAGGATCCTATAGCAATACATATGGGTCGTAATGGAACACCAGGATTTTTGGCAATCCCTCTAGCCTTGGTGGTTTAGAAGCTATTGTCACGAGACACAGCTTATGCAAGCAGGGTTGGAGAATCAGTAAGCTGGCACAACTTGAGGTCTTGCCGGTGTGGCTTTGCTCAGCCCGAGATAGCTTCCTTCTCCACCCAGTCCTCACGCCGTCTTCGCTAGTCCACGCCTCCAACTCCTCCTCCATATATCTGTCTCCTAATGAAAGGAATACTTCTCCCCCCGAGTGTGCAGAATCCCCTAGCCCTGCAACCAGGGGCCGACAGATGGTTGCCTAACCCCACACATGACAGGGAAGCACCCCTCTTCGGGCTTCCCTCCAACTCACCCTCCATACCTTAGGGCCCGACCAACACCCTATCAGAGCCCCGGGGCAAGGCGAGGTGGGTCGGGGTGGAGTGCTGGCACCGAGCTGCACTCACCCCGAGCATAGCCGCCCTTGGGGGTACCTCTCCTCCACCTCTGAGCACTGTGGTGTATCATCAAAGCTCATGGTTTCACGTAAGGGAACCTAATCACCACACACAGGAGTTTCGGAATTGTTCCTCTACCTCAGTTCACCCTCTCTCCTGTTGGCGTTAACACACTCTCTGCATGCCTCTACGTATGCTGGCATATATATCCGTATGACTGATCAAAACAACCCGCACCTCTTCAGTGGTTGCCAGTCGGTAACACTGGTGGCTGTGAGCTTTGCTATCGGAGGGAATGCAAATACAAAGTGTCTGTTCCCCTCACGACACTCGCAGCTGCCACAGTAGTCATCGCGGGCTCTGGAAAGGTATGAGGGAATAGTGACCCCTTATTAAATTTAATTACTGGTAAACCACGGAGAAAACTAGAAACTAAGTTTGTACAAAAGGCCCCGGGCAGACAAGCATCTATGCCTGCTGGTCAAACCCTTTTTGGTGGAGCCAGGAGACTGACCCCTCCCCCAACTCCAGAAACAGTAGAAAACCCAATGAGTGGCCTCGCGGAATGTTCTCTCACTGCGGATGAGATTTTGCCAGTGGACCTGTTCCGGCTCCAGTCAACATAAGGAGTCGACAGTCCTCCACTTGCAGAAAGAAACTGCCAAATAACATGGAGTGGATCTTCTAAACAAAATAATAAAGGGGGTGTGGGAAGCTGTGAGTACCATGCTATGGGACCGCTTCATCATCAGCAGGAATAGTGGTGGTGGCTTACTTTTCCACTAAAGACGAACATTAGTTGAGCGATGCAGGCAATGTAGTGAAGTCCTTGAGATTTTCATATTAGGGTTCTATAACACATTCGACCACTATTGAGTTTTAGCATAGCCAACACAGACCACACAAAACGTATTCTGCTGGATTTAAAGGATGCCCTGATGGTCCCTCTCTTTTTGAAAAAAGGATTGTACTGATTGTAACTACTGTGGCATCTTCATCCTCAGTCTACCGGAAAATGTTCTGACAAGGATTATTCAACATTGCCTTGCCATACACACTGAGAGGCTTGCAAAGCCCGTATGTGCTTTCAAGCTGGTGCGGTCTCTCTCGTTCTGCTACAGCAGAGTTGTAAGGAGTTTCAATTGGACCTATATCTCTGCTATATTGACCTGGTCGAGGCCTACGATACCAACCACAATCCAGCATTTTGTGTTAATCATGCTTTTGGGTTCTCTGATTTTCTGCTCAATATCATTGAGGACCCTCATGTTGGTGGGAAGGTCAGGTAGAGCTGCATGGCCAGAAGTCAGAACCATTCCCTTATCACCTTGGGGTGCGACAGGAATGTACTCTGGCTCCTACTGCATTGCCTTATCCCCTTTAATAAATGTGCATGCGCCACATGTTTGGCCGGCAACTCTTGTACGCGCTTATTCTCACTTCTGGTTAACGCCACGCCAACTCCCAACTAGACCACGCCCCTCCCGCCTAAGCCAGTAATGGCATCGAAAGGGGTAATCGCCAACGCACTGATCTCGGTGGATCGATTTAATTCCCAGCCAAGCTCCACCCTTCCCGGCTATGCTCCACCCACTTCCAGTCAAGCCATGCCCCCTCCGTTCGGCCTCACCCACCCCAAGTCTGGCCCACTTCTTTCGATAAAGCAACTACAATGTGTGATGAGATTTGCATACGCAAAGGCGGTGGCTAGAACAGGTTTGACTTAGCTAAGACTAAACGGGGAAGAGTTTAGAGGGTCCTTTGTGTAGCTGGGAGCCTGGATATAACGGCAGATTAGGGGAGGTAGAGGAACAGACCTCCAGGGCGTTTCCTACATAAAGTACATCCAGCACCTCCAGACAGGACCGTATTATCCAATTAGGCACAATAGGTATTGTGCCTAGAGCTAATGAAAACTAAAGGGTCCGACGAAAATAAATGTAACACGTTTTTTTGTTTGTATGCGAAGCAAATATAACGAAGATATATTGATTAAATATATGTGTATATATAGCAAGGATAGGAACCGTGAATATACAAAGAGGCAGTCATGTCAATGTGAATCGTTTTTATAAGGTGAGATAAATTAACACCGGAGATGAACTTTTCGAAATGTTTTCATTGCAAAATTAGCAATAACATCTTCAAATGGTGGTTGTCGCACATTCTCAATAGAGGGGCCGTCCATAAATGACGTCACGCGATTTTTGACGATTTTTGACCCCCCCCCTCCCCCCCATCGTCACGGCGTCACAAAGTTCTGCCTCCCCCCCCCCAAAAAACATTTCCATTTTGAGAATAAAACATGCTTAAAATCGCTTTAAACTATTGTCATTGTAGTGCGCATTTAATGTGGCGCTGCACTGATGTAGGAGAAAACACGCATTAAAAAGGAGGCGTTGGAAAGCTTAAATTTAGCATAAAATTCACTTGAAAATATTCAACGTCTAACTAAAACTGCAGATGTTTAGAATATTATTTTGAAATTATCTTATAATTATACAATATTAAAAGTAATTATAACTATTAAAAAAATACTTGAAAATGTGTAGTAGAACGAAGCAAAATGGAGAGTACAATAACAATCATATATTTATTCCACAGAAGGAAAAGCCCTGGTAGAATCATTAGAATCAAAATGTTTAATAACAATCATTAAAAAAATATGTTAAAAATGTATGCTTCTCCATTCTCCCATGGAGAAGAAAAATGCTCCTTTATGAAATAAATAAAAGGTGACCTTGATAAATGTAAATAATAAAATAGTTAATAATGAAAATGTCTGACCCCCCCCCCCCGCCTAGGTGCGTGACGTCATTTATGGACGGCCCCAGAGTAGTGCAAGGGAAGACAAGCGTTGTTGTTCTATAGTTGATCGGAGACAGTTTTAAATCAGCTTTAGCTGTAAAAAAATGCCCCCCTTCACAACTCGTTCCCAAGATGGCAAGATGCATCCTTAGAGCAATGTGAACTTTCAGAAAGGCTTTGGGCATATCTGCCACTGTTTGTTTCTCTGCTTAAAAATGCAGGAACAGGAATTAATCAGTAAATTATTTTTCAAGATCTGCTGTATATGCAGCAACCAATGCATTGGCCCGCACAACAATTTATTCTGTGGATAGTGATTTATCTACAAGGAAACCGAATCGATCATTCAATCTGGCATATGCATTGCTGCCCATGTAGCAACATGTAGGATGTACTCTCAATCTGGCTTGGAATCTTATTCAGTCCAAATTTCAATAAAATTAAAATTTTTATAAATTGAGACTAAAGCCACATATTTGTCATGAATAAAAATGCATGTTTCTTTATAAATTCCAGGTAAGAGTTTTCCTACGAAAGAAGAATTATGTATCTGGTCAAGCGAAGAGCTGAAAAAATGGATGGAAAGCATGAATGTAAATGAATCCATTATTAATTTTTTATACAAACAAGATATTGATGGAGAAACATTTATTTCTCTTGAGAAAAATGAGTTGCGCGATTTTGGTCTAAGTTTAGGGAATGCTAAAAAAGTTGTCAAATTAATCAAGGAAATTACTGAACGAAGTAAACACAAAACTGAAAATATAGATAGTAGTCTTTATACCAAACATAGCCCACAATCAGTTTTCATGAAAAATAAGGAAACCATTGGGCAACTTGAAACACGTGGGGAAGACACAAATGATGAACAACAAAAAAAGTTATCTGATGCAGAATTGAAAAATGATAAAATGAACAAACTGGATGAAAACACCAATACCAATGTGCAAAAAGGCCCTGGAACATGTGTCGATGGCTCCAAAGAACATGAGGATAATTTTTGTTGTACACATCAAGTAAGTAATTCAGCAATGTCCAATGATAGCAACATACAGCAAAACGAGTCTCAAAATCAAAGCTGCTGTTCTGAACATCAAGGCAGTTCTCAACATCAAGGCACTTCTCAACATCAAGGCACTTCTCAACATCAAGGCACTTCTCAACATCAAGTCAGTTCTCAACATGGCACTTCTCGACATCAAGGCACTTATCAACATCAAGTCAGTTCTCAACATGGCACTTCTCAACATCAAGGCACTTCTCAACATCAAGTCAGTTCTCAACATGGCACTTCTCAACATCAAGACACTTCCCAACATCAAGTCAGTTCTCAATATGGCACTTCTCAACATCAAGGCACTTCTCAACATCAAGTCAGTTCTCAACATGGCACTTCTCAACATCAAGACACTTCCCAACATCATGGCAGTTCTCAACATCAAGGCACGTCTCAACATCAAGGCAGTTCTCAAACCTCTGCTATCCCAAATCCTTCGGTGAGTAAAATGAAAAATTGTCAATTCTTTAAATGTATATAGGTGCATTAGGGAAATGATGTTCAGACATAGTGAGGTCTGAGTTCTCTATTCACTAAAGCATCTAAGCCTCACTGGTGCATCACTCGATATGCATTTCACTCTCAGATGCACACTTCCCATCATGTTAAATCGAGACAATACAATCACAAGTTTAACCACAATTCCTCTCACTCATATCCTGCAGGAGGGCTTCATTGACATCCTTGGTCTCAGACATTTGGCACAAATCCTCTAACCTCTATTCACTCTGAAGCCACTATCGCCTGGCTCCACTTATACAATCATAGTTGCTGCTACGGCAGGGGTGGCATCTCTAAACCTGACTTTTAACTCATAATACTTTGTAAAAATGTTAATCCTTTTAGAATCTTATGCTTTATCTCCCACCTCCATCTATCCTCAACTCTGCCATCTATCATCCACCCAATGTAAACTCAAAAAGTAGGGACTGACTCTTTCACGTATCTGTTTCTACACGTAAAACATTGTATTTTAATAGCTTCGTTTTACTTTTTATAAACCATCAGACACACCATCTTCAGGGAGTGAATAATTTCAGTGGGATCTGTAATTTTTACAAAAAATGATATGGAGGGCCAGATATGGGAAAGAGGCATAGTGTCTGCTTATTTATTTATTTCCAGTACATTACCATAACAATTTTAATACGTTGGTTTGTCAATAGCATTGTGGTGCTGATATGAATATGCTTAATGTTTTGGTTTGTGCAAATCCACTTCTGTGATATGGCTGGACAATGCGAATGCACAAACTTACAACATTTCTTAATGTTACATTTTCATTACCAACATCACTTTTTTTAAATCATCTTTTACATGGGCTTTTCTTTCTTACGATATTATATCCTGAACCCAGTGGCGAAACATGGTAATCTAGCACCTATATTAATAGCCTGTTAATCTGCAAGTAAAGAGACCCATCCTGCTCTAGCAAGCAGGATTTTCAGGAGATGAATTTAAACTTTTTATGGTTGTGTAAAAACCTGTGTTTAAAGGTCCAAATGTGAGATGCTCAGATTTTTCTTCTAACTTAAAAATGTGACCCATATTTAATTACTGGTAATATGACACTAATTTTGTTCCACCTGTATTTTTTTCAGATAGTGTATTTTATAATATGCATATGCTATGAACCACGTGAGGTTTCACGTGTCACGATTGCACTTTCTAATGGACAATCAATACAAGCTGAGAGGTCAAATAAATATATTTGGCACTACAAAGGAGAAGTTCCAAGTAATGTTAAATGGCAAGTAAGATTAAATTATGAAGAGCACGGCGTTGAAATGAAAACACTGGAACAAAAGAATGTATCCATTCATGGAAGACATCGACATATTTTTGGATATTTACATTTGTTTCAATTTATGTTGTCATCTGATGATACAACTATGCAAGACATGGACAAACTTATCAACATGTTGTGCCCTGTCCCAGAACATGCTTTCAAAGAACCATGTGATTTTGGAATCTGGTTAAATAAATATTTAGCAGCAAATGATTCAGATAAAAATAAAATGTTTGTGGCCATTATTCTAGGCTACCTATTGCAATATAAAGACAAGTATTCTAATTGTATCCTGTCAGTTTTAAAAGAACATGCAAAATGTATATACAGTGCAATAAAAAACTACACATACGTATCTATATCACACAAAATGCAACAAAGTATTAGACATGTATTGAAATATATTCTAAAACATCATATTCATGGTGGCTGGATAGAATATGTGCAGGCCGCAGTCCATATCTTAAAAATAACTGACATAATACAAGACGTATGTTATTTTGATGAGGGAAATGAAAGTGATTTTAAATATTTGAAATCAACAATTACAAAAATTTCTGAATATGTGCGTGATGACAGCAAAAAAAATATAGCTAATGCTTTATTGTGTTATGTGAACCAGCCATCATATATTATAGATGCATACGTATTATGCAATAGACATTTGGTAACTATAGAACCAAAATATACACATATATTGCTTGCTAAGACTATTAAACAATTAAAAACAATTGAAATTGATTCTGAAACAATATTGCACTTTATCATGTGCATAAGCAATGAAATTGATCGAACTTGTATAGCAGATGCATACATGCATTATGTTATAAAAACGAATATAGAAGAGTTGGATAGCACATGGTATAAAATTTTGTTGCATTGTTCAATTGATGCAATAGTTATATTTTTTTATTGGTTCAGTACAAATGCAAAGGATATTTCACCTCTGACTTTAGTTGTAGAAGTAGTGAAAATCAAGAATTTTTTTGAATTAAGTCATAACAATGCCAAACGTTTATCTAATAGCATATGCATCATGCTGAAGAATATTGAAAAACTTGACAAAAAACACATCATAATTGTTTTGAAGCATACATCAGAACTGTTAATACGTTTTAAAAAGTTTCCAAGCTTAGTTAAGGAAATAGAAAATGCACGAGACAAACGAATCAAATTACTGTCGGCCGAAGATGTAAATGCTATTTTTGAAGATTCTGTAAACTTGAATGAAGAAGATTTAAAATTACTATTTCAAATTTTAAAGTTGTTTTCTCAAAGTGAATCTTCATGGACAAGCACACTGATACGTATATTGCTTTTGAAACCAAAAGTGGACCATACACCGCAAGTGCTACACAAGTAAGTCTTTATTTTTTTTTCATGTTGAGGCGTCAGTGAATAACATAACAGGTAGTTAAAATAACAAATAATTACACCGTTGTAAAGTTGGGTGTGTAAAGAAGCTCCTTGGAGATGCCCATTTTGCAGAAGTACAAACTTTATTACTATTGTAACGTATTTACAGTTCCGAGTGTAACAGCCACTACACTCGTAATTACTATGGCTATCTCCAGCCCCGATGGTTTCTACCAAGTTGGTCACGACCAGTCAGCCCCGATGGTTTCCACTTGGTATTTCACGAACAGTCGGCCACGATGTCGTCCACCTTGGTCATCAATTAGTCCCCGAGCAAGCACCCCAAACGCAGGCCTCACTCCCCCGTATATACTCGCTCGACCCTGGCCCTATTGGACAGTACCCCCCCCCAACTCCACTATAAACACGTGTGTTCTTTATTGAATATACTCCATCCAAACAAGCAAACATGTATTTCCCCTTGATGTTTTTTAGGAATGGACCCAGAATACACAATGCCACTTGCTCTCCAACACATAATTCTATACGACAGATGTTTCTTCAGGGTCTGTAGCTACACCCTTCCCGCTGACCACATGTCCCAAATATCTAACAGAATTCTGTACAAAATGACAAATTGATCGTTTAAGTTTCAGTTTAGCGGCTCGCACCTTTAAGAAAAACTTGTCGTAATTAATGGTGAGCAATATCGCAAAGGGACCAATACCTGTGCTAGTGGCAGAATTGTCATCGAATCTCCCACCAGGGCTTGTACTCTGGCGGCCTTTCATGCTTCCATGTCATGCCACAAAAAATACATCCGTCTAACAGTGTCTCTATACAGCTCTGGTCCATTAGTATTTTAATGGGTATTTCTGTTACACTGCGAGGTGAATGGGAAATGGCTTTTACACCCCACCAAACATCCTTTACTCAGGCCTGCTGACTATTATGAAGTTATTTTATAATCATGCTTTCATTGTCCCTGACATATAAATAGACTACATGCACACATCAATAAATGCACATCCACACACAATCTAACATTTTTATTTTTTTCCTATGAACTTTTTCCCTCTATGGCCTAGTGCGTCTGCTGGGGGAATGGTTTTATTGATTGGGGAGTACTTAGGCTAGCCCACAGAATAAACAAATACAAATTCGTAATATAGGCTTTTTTGGGTAAATCGCGTAAATATAAATGTGTCATAAAACCATCACCACCCGACACAGCCGATTCCTAGGGTTTGGCACATAAACAGAACATGCCAATTAATTTCAAGTGCAGAACACCAGTGTGTTGGAGAGCAAATCCACAACATTTACAATCTGAGTACTATGTTTCGCCAGTAATCACAACTAGCTTCATTAGGCGATAGCCAGATTTGTGGAGAAATATTCCTGCTTCATTCCTTAAATAGAGGGATAGATGTGATGACATCAGTTGTGAGCCCTTCTCGTACAAAGGGGAGTATTAATGAATAAATTACAATGGGTATCCATTGCTGGTACATTATGCATGCACATTGTTCTTGTACCTCCTGTCGTTTGTGTGCAATAAAATAGCAGTACCTGTTATTATCTCTGTACAGGTAATCCCTATTGATGTATGGTGATTTGTATAGGCACACATTTAAACAATGTGTTGATGATTCGCTTCCAAGCAGCAATACGCCTGTAGCTATCCAAACAGTTAAAATTATTTGTATTTCTCTCAATTTCGATAGATTATTTAATTAGTCTTGGCCAGTAGTAACTAGTTTTGCACCGAACTTCAACATTATCTAAAGCAATCGAGTGTCCTTGTTGGCACGCGTGTTCTGCCACTGCCGAAAGTTGTATTTAGGAGTATTTAATATTCCTGTGGTGATCTATTAGTCTCGTGCTGATCATTCGTCCTGTTTGCTCAACATAGCATTTGCCACAAGTGTAATTAATCCGGTACACACCTTCTGTTGATAGCTTCAGTAATACATCTTTAGTACCAGATATTATTTTCTGTATTTTATGTACTGTGCCAAATCTGACTCGAATGTTTTGTTTTTCCAAACATATGGCAAGTTTATCAGTTACTCCCACAATGTACGGTATTTTAATAGCTTTAATTAATTGGTCATTTCCAACTCTCGCGATATATGATTTGTTTTTTGCATTCAGTGCCGTGTTGATTTGTGCATCATTGTAACCGTTCAATTGCAGCGCTGCTTTAACATGTTTCATTTCACGTCTCAGACTATCACTATCTGACACTTTCTTAGCCCGATGTATGAGCATCTTGATGAGAGAGGATTTCTGTGCGGGGTGATGGTGTGACTGTATTCAGATAGGCGTCAGTGTGTGTTTTCTTTTGGTAAACGCTGTTATTTACATTTCGGCCGCGCCTGAGCAGCACATGCAGAAATGGGAGAGTTCTGTCAACTTCCATGGTGAACTAGATGGATGGGTTTTGCAAGTTGCGATGGTTTATAAATACATTAAGTGTATCTTGCCATGTGGGCAGACCACCAGTGTGTCATCCACATATCTAAACCAAGCAGATGGTTTTAGTGTGCTTGAGGCTAATGCTTTTGCTTCAAAATATTCCATGTACAAAATCGCAGTCACAGGACACAAAGGAGAGTCTATTGCTGCTCCTTCCTTTTATTTATAGAAATGACCTTTCCACAGGCAATATGCGTTCTTTAGACAGTGTTCAGCTAGTCGTGGGATACCTTTGTATAAACTTGTGTTCGTTACCAGAGTATCGAGTAATTTAATTGACTCGTTAATCGGAAACCCTCATGAACAAAGAAGTTACATCAAAACTTACGAGAATATCATTAAGGTTAAACTTTATCTCTTATAAATTGTTTTAAAATTCCCATGTATGTTAATACGTGAGGATGACAGTTCTGTCACCTTTAGATTAAAATGGATATTATACTGATTTTCTGAACTGCCAGCGCTTTTGATTGATCCACATGGCATGGGGAGGTTCTCATCGAGCAGGGCTGTACATAAACATATTTCAGAAACAACTATTCTTTAGTAACCTTTCATGTGTTTCAATTATTTTAATGCCCTTTCACGTTGTATTGTATAATAGCAAAATTGTGTTTTTTTCCCCCAGAAAATATGAAGATTTGATTTGTCAAATGCTTGATAATGAAGAAAAAAAAATTAAGGACATTGATCTATCTGATAATTTCAACACTGAAGATCTTGCCTATATTGCAAATAAAGTTGATTCATTTCAACAAATAATCACAGCTACTCAAAATATAATATCAATAAGCAGTCACAAGATGGTTATTTACATTAAAAGACTTACTACACTATTTTTAAATGCAATGCAGGAAAAAAACATATCACTGAAACAATATTCTGAAATTAAGCAACAAATCCAATTAGAAACGCTATACAAAATGTACAGTATGACAACATTTACACAATACAACAATATACAATTCATGTTTGAAGATATTGATAAAGTACTTTTGGATTTTAGGATATTGGGGACTGTTTTAAACAAATTTGTGACAGTAATATTAGAAAAAGTATCTAATATGGGGAATTATAAATTGACAGATGGATTGCAGACATATCAGAACTACTTCCAAAAAGCATGTTCTACAGACACTTTGATCAAAAATATTCTTCAAGAGTTTGTGACTCCATTGCACAATATTCAAGAAGTGGCCAATGAGGTTTACAAGCACGGATTCATTGATGAAAATATCATTTCGGATATATACATTAATTGTTGCATAATAGCACTTAAAAAAACTAAAAAGCAAGAGGAGGAAATCACGTGTCAAGAATTAGTTACATTTTGTGCCAAAGAGGGCATTGCATATTTTAATTCTCGTATGCATACATTATTCAATACCCTCAGTGCCATCCCATTGAGTGAATTGAAAGAAATATGTGAAAATATCAGCGCAGAAAATCTTCATATTGAGATAGGTGTTCTAAAATCTAGACAAAATGAATGTGTTGAAAATGTTGATGAATTGATACAATTATTCTTAAGTCTGGATGAATGGGAATCAAAACTTCTAAATTTTAAAGCTATTTTCGAGATCTTTACAATTAATGACAATGTGTCATCTGAATATATAAGTAGATGTAACAGTGCCTTAATCCTAATTTCCATGTGCAAGAAAGTTGAGGGAACTTTAGAGACACTTCAGGAGTGCAGAGAAAGAGCATTAATAGCATACACTCCAATAAAAGATATAGATGATTCTATATTATCATGTTTAGCCAAATCAAAGGAGCTGATTGTCTTTTTGAAAAATGTCCAAGGTGACGACTTAACAAATTTAATTGATGCTGTAGAAGAACACTCGGAGCAGTTCATAAATGAATCAACCGTTTCTAATTTAATCGAAGTCAATAAATACGTCAAGCCATTGTTTAATTGCAAAGACACTGATGTTTTTTTCTCAAATTTAAACAATTCCTGCAAAAAAAGTTTTGCTCAAAAACTCGATGATTGCAGATCACATGTGCATAATCTAAAGTCTTTATATTTAAATGTTTCTAACAGAGAAGAAATGACGAAACAAGTAATAAAAAAAGTTTTAGCATCTGGAAGATATGTTTTTAAAATGGAGGCATCACGCTGTAAAGTGTTTGTTTACTTAAAAGATCAAAATACAATATACAAGACTTTACCCGAAATGAATGATATACGAAGTCGGGCCTTACTAATTAGCTCAAATAGGAAAAATGAAACTACCAATGTCAATGAATATTTACTAACGAGCATAACTATTACAGAATTAGAGACTATAATAGAGGTGGTTGATAAACTAAATAATGTGTCCAATTTATATGCAGAACTTCACAAAGCTGGGCATTATAACTACATTACATTTGACAAGGAAACCAAAGATCTCTTACAACTCAATAACTTCATTATGGAAGCAAATAGTGAGAAGGAGCATTGGTTAGGTGCAATATTGAAAGCGAGAGAAGAGTTTTACTTTCTAAATTATTTTTTTTCAGATCAGCTGTGGTGTCTTTATGAGTTTTTTTGTGAAGGAAAAATTACATCTGACTTTATTAACATTGCAAGATATATAAATCCTTCTGAGAATATAATCAAACAACCTCCCTTGAAACGAATACATTTTAGTAACAAAACTGCAATTGAATACCTGTGTGAAATTGGGACATATATTGATATGGAATTTAATTCTCAGAATATGGAAACACGGCCAATACCAATTATAGATGAATGTGTTGAGAATACAGTTCAATCTGGGAAAATATATTTTGCAGTTTTACCTAAAACTGGAAGTCGAGTAATACACACGTTAATGGCATTATTTATGAGTACAACGAAAAGTTACCCATATTCTCATCAAGTGTTATTTTGCCATCATAAAACTTCATTGGATGAGATCACTATTTTTATTCAAAGATGCACATTGCATTCTCGAGTAAAAAAAAAACAAAAGTTGTTTTGCCTGGCAAATGTTGAACTGTTGCGAACAGAAATACAATTTGAACTTGTAAAGAAGCTAGTAATGCTTCAGAGCAGTACTAACACCACATTTTTGCTTGCAATTATTTGTCGAGGTGAAAACCATCCAATTACAGCAAAATTTGCTTCATATTGCCACAAAACACAAGGAATTACAAATACCGTTTTGCAAGATTGTTTCAGAACCTCATTTCATAATGTTGAAGTTGTAACATCTGATATATCTGGGTTAGGAAAAACTGAGTATATACATCAGAAAGCAAGCCTTCAAATGAAAAATGTCATTAGCATCCCGTTTGGTGGCCCTTTCACTCGAGAAACATTTGTTTGTCGTTTAACAGACATGAAGTTAACTAAGCATAGCATAATGCATATTATTATATCAGAAATTGACGACTATAACCTTTTTGATACATTGATGTTTGAATTTATAGTTTTGGGTTGTGTTATGTCTGGAACAAAAATGGTTTGTCAAGAAAACTTATTGAAGTGTCAAGACGTTGCCATTTTTGTAGAAATCTCCAATAGTTTCAATGAGAAGGTGAAAAATTCTTTGAATATTTTAACTAGCTTCAAACGCACACATTTGAAATGGAAAAATTATGAAGATTTCATAATTGGAAGAGATTTACAATGTCAAGTTCAAATAGTGTGCCATTTTCTTAAAGCCTACAAAGAAAACGTTATTGACCAGTCAGATATAATTTTTTGTCATAGGACAAAATTGAAACCATTGGATGATAAAGAATGTCGTCAACTGTTACGTGAATATTTTTCAAGTACATCAGACATCTCATTCACGAGAGTAGATATTTTTTTACGGGTCTTATCAGACCAACTTAAAAAGCTGTCGGTTAGCCATTATTTTCGAGTGAAATCTCTAAAAGATATGCTTGGGAAACAATGTGCTGTTCGGTCACAAATGTTAAAAAATGTTCTTAGATGTTTCTGCTGAGTTTGCTTCAAGAGCTATACGGACAACTTGTGCGCCTCTAGATCAGTGTAAAAATGATGAATATGTAAGTAATAATAGTGACGAATTAATTCAAGGAAATATCGACAGAGTGCATTGTATGATTCAGTGGGAGGACAGTAATCACTTTCTAGTTTTGTTTCACAGCCTAGATGTTCAAACAGTGTCTTCCTTATACCGAAACCTGGATGATGTTGACAAAGGCATTAAACAATTATTTGAATCACAAATAGGACAAAGTCTGAAGGACTTTAAACAAATTAATTGTGAAGAATTGCACAGAATGTTAGAAAAAATATCAATTACACAACTTACAAAATACAATGATTGTTATCCAGAGTTATCAAAATCGTATGCATTAGCACCAGATAACCTGTTAAAAATGGCTTTAATTGTACTGCGCATTAGAGTGAATGTACCAGTTATTATCATGGGAGAAACAGGCTGTGGAAAAACCAGTTTAATCAGATATTTATCAAGAGTTTGTAATACAACATTAATTATTTTTAGTCTGCATGCTGGTATAACAGAACAGGATATAGTGGACTTTGTTAAAGAACATACTGATAATGTTAGCACATCAAAAAACATTTGGATTTTTATGGATGAAATAAATACTTGTGATCATTTGTGGTTAATAAATGACATTATTATCAACAGAGTTTTATTAGGAAAGCCTTTACCTATCAATATTTCATTTCTTGCTGCATGCAACCCATACCAACTGAAATCACCAAAAAAAGTATTAACAGCTGGACTACCGGGGAAAGCTAAGGAAGATGAACTTTCTAAACTTGTTTATAGAGTCAATCCACTTCCTGAGACAATGAATGACTTTGTTTGGGATTATGGTGCACTCAGTGAAAAAGATGAAATTCTTTATGTGAGCCGAATGGTTAATAGAATGGAATCGGAAGAACTTTTGACTACGCTCCTTATAACTTCACAAAACTTTATTCGAGAAGTTGAAAATGTTAAATCTTCTGTAAGCTTGCGTGATGTAGACCGTTGTTTAAAACTAATTAAATGGTTTCAATGTATGTTATGTACAAAAGGTTATGCAGAAAATAATGCGTGTTTAGATGACAATGTAAAACGTATTGCCAATATTATTCTTGGATTAGCTCATTGCTATCACTCAAGACTGGCTACTGCAGAGGAAAGAAAAAGGTATAGAGCAAAATTGACAGAAATACTAATTAAATATAAGTATAATGTAACAGAACACAGTGTACGCAACATAATCCACGCTGAACAAATTGATATCATCAATCGCATGAAACTTTCAAAAAATGTGGTGAAAAATGTGGCATTGTGTGAAAACGTTTTTGTGATAATGGTATGCATTCTAAATTGCATTCCTGTTTTTCTGGTGGGAAAGCCAGGCAGCAGCAAATCTCTTTCTCTTCAAATTATTCGCAGTAATCTCCGTGGCCTAGATTCTGGTGATGAATATTTTCGAAAACTCCCACAATTATATGTAGTGTCCTACCAGGGATCTGAATCTTCTACATCACAGGGTATTCAAAAAGTGTTTGATAAAGCCAGCAAGTATGTATCTGTAAACAAAGAAAACAACATTCGTGCAGTTGTGTTGCTCGACGAAGTTGGATTGGCTGAGATTTCAAAAATGAATCCACTCAAGGTGTTACACAAGTTACTAGAACCACCAGATGGCAGTAAATTGGACATTGCAGTAGTTGGAGTATCCAACTGGGCATTGGATGCTGCCAAAATGAACCGTGCCATTCATCTTTCAAGACCAGACCCAGATCTTGACGATTTGAGGACAACTGCACTTAATATATGTGATTTTAAAAATAATGACCATAAACATGTTATACGCACAATAGCGGAAATATATTATGATCTCCAATTAAACCAAAAAATTTCCCACTTCTATGGACTTAGGGACTTTTACCATCTTTTGAAGTTATTAAGCAACTCAAACAATAATCAACTCACGCAAAAAATATTAATTAACAAAGCTATATATGCATGTCAAAGAAATTTGAGTGGACGTTATGAAACGGTAAATGGAATCCTATCAAAATTACAATGTATTTTTAGCAAACAAAACTTAGACTTCAATACAGGTATTATAAAACTCATTGTTGACAATCTCAGTGATACAAACGCTAGACATTTAATGTTAATCTCAAGTGGCAGTGTTGCTTGCACAATATTAGAGAATATATGTAGCAATTCACTGAAGCAAAAAGAAATTGTTATGATATTTGGAAGTAAATTTGAAGAAGATAAAACAGAAGATTACATTTACAGAACACTTAGTAGAATAATGCTCTGTATGGAAAGAGACTGCATCTTAATATTGAAGGATTTGGAGTATATATATGGGAGTTTGTATGACATGCTGAATCAAAACTATATTATGGTTGGAAATAAGCAACATTGCAGAATTGCATTGGGCCCTTATAGCAATCCAATGTGTCATGTTCATGAAAAGTTTCGCTGTGTGGTCTTAGTAGATGAATGTGATCTCGATCACACAGATCCACCATTTCTCAATAGGTTTGAAAAACAACGGCTATGGTTTAGTGATATTATAGATGAATCCCAGAAAAAAATCATCTCGGATATAAACACATGGGTTAAGGACATAACAGAAATTCCTGGAAATCTTAATTTTACACCACAGGATGTTTTCATTGGGTTTTGTGCAGACACAATACCATCTCTCGTATTGTTTTGTGAGTCATTGCAACCAAAATGTACCACTGAAAATTCTACAAAACGGCGAGAATACATTTCCAGCATTTGCAAAGAGACATTATTAAATACTGCCACCCCAGAAGGTGTTCTTCGAATGTCTCTTTCTGTTTTGGCAAAGGAATCTTCAGACGTGAATGATATACAACAGCTTTACTATCAAAAACCTATACACAGTGGCCTTAATCATTTTCTTAAAAGCTTGGAAAATACATCTTTAGGAATTACAAGCACGCAGCACATTGTATATACTTATAGTGATATATACACCACTGTGGAACAATTTCCGGAACAATTTGGGAGCTGTGATTCTGAAAATTTAGGCACTTTTAAATCTGAAAAGGACTTAACAAGCTGGATTACATCATTTTGGGAAAATTATAACAAAAAATACCTCATATTACACTGTAAATTGCAGTATGATAAAGAAATAATATATTTAGCTAAATATATTTTGGATAATGTGAAAAAAACTTTTACTTTACATCAAAATGCTAAGAAATATGAAAACAAACACATGGTGTTTGTAATTCACTTGCCTCATAACACTGAAAAGTTTTTTTCAAATTCACAACTGAATTTTTTATGTGGATGGAATCAGGTTATGATAGATAGCCTTCTCCGACCTTTGTTCTCGCTTACTGAATTGATGAATATGGAGCCAAGCGACATAATTAACAATGGACAATTTCCAATTGATAAAATAATCAAAGACCAATTACTCACATGTTTCACATCAATTCGATACACTAACAAGAGAGTTTCAACTAGCGAATGGCTTTTTCCTTTGTTAGAAAAAATCTATACTTCAGAAAAAATGTTACAATTTTTTCACAAGTTCATTTTAGAAAATATAACCAACCACATCGATCAAATTCAAACTGATCATAATAAATCCCCAGGATGGCTACTTGATATTGTATGTAATCGACAACTTCTTATTACATCATCTACTTTATACTCGGCCATCTTAACTAAATTAAGTGAATACATATTGCAAACTTTAGGAAAAGCTGTCTACCTTTTAGAAAAGGAATGTGCTTGGAATAGTTTTTTTGTCAATGAAAATGACTCTGCTCTTATTTATTTCTGGAGTGCTATTTTTAATGCAATATACTCACAGGAACATGAGTATATACCTGTAATTACTGGTCCAGAATCATGTGAGCTTATTCATCATAGTTTGGAACTAAACTTTCCATTTAGCATTCATTTTATTTCTCGTTTGCAAAAATTTCAAAGTTTTGTAACTGATGACCTTAGAAAACAACATCTGGATTACACTTGTGAAGCAAAAGACAAACAAATTAATGCACTTTTGGACCGCTATACAGAACAATTATGGCAAGCAATCATAGAAGTATCTCAAGAATTAAGAACTTTAAGTACACATTTTGAAAAATTTTTGGAAGACATTTGCATGTATTTTACATGGAAATTTTCGGTGAATTTAACAAAAGAGGAGATACTTAGCTATTTGATTCCTTCAATAAATGCAAAAATGCAAGTGTTTTCACGTTCAAGTGCAGAAAAGCACCGCCTAACATTAGTTTGCATATGTTTGTGGCTATATAGTGATGCATTTGCTGCACAGCTGAGCGTTATAGCAACATGCAAGGAGGCTAATATTTTTTATTTAGAGGAACTGAAGCACAGCAAACTAATTGAAGACTTTATATTTCATGTAAAAGAACAATCATCAACAAGTAGTACCCACGTAGATGCAATTACAAAGCAAGAAGAACTTGTTGAGGAATATATAGTTGAAAGTCAAATAGTCACCGCTATTTGCAATAGGCTATTACCGACTCAAACTAATTTAGAAATGTTTGGTAAACGTGGTACTGAATGGTCAAAAATTGCCTATCAGGTGATGTTGCTCCAAAACGAAATTCCAATCAACATTTATATTTTAGAAGTGTTGAAAGTGTGCCTAGATTTTGTAGATTGTGCTCTGACAGGAACAAGCCTGAATCATCAGACATTTTCCAAATGGCTGTTTGAACTTTCCGAATTGGCAGAATATACAGATTTTCAGCTGGGAATAGCGGAATTACTGTCAAAAATAGATTCATTTGTTCATAGGTTAAATGAGACTTCACAGCTACCTACTGAAAATTTGCAGCGATTTTTATGTTTGTGTTTTGGACGCTGCCTAGATATAAGCAATAGTATCAATATCCATGTCAACATTTTAAAACTTATATGTAGAACTTCATGGCTTTCTGAGAAATTCTTAGGACCAGTAATTTACCGATTGATATATGACAATGAAGATTATAACATCACATCACTTGACTTAGAACAAAATGAAGTTGTTAAAGAATTTAATGATGCGCTAAAAAAATGTGAGATCAGTTCAAATGTTGCAATTATCTTATGTGATACAATAGAAATGTTGATATTTAATTCGACATACAAACAATTAACAGAAATTGCTTCATCTAAGGAGCCTCTTTATGTAAATGTTTTAAAAGCACTGACAAATATAGACACTAAATGTCCTACGCTACATTTTTTTACTTCTGTGGCATTGTTGAGATCAGTTCTTAAAGCCTTTGCAATATTGCTAAAAGAACATTACGAAAAATCAAATACAATATCGAACATTTTGCAAAATTTACTAAGTGAACTATTGTCCATTAACAAAAAATGTGAAGAACATATAGGTATAAAATCCCCTTTGCTGTTTAATTTTTTACAAATATTGGGATCAACACTTTCACTTTACAAAATTAAACCTATGTGCAAAAACTTGACTCCATTCCATGGTTTGGAATGGTCAAATGTTAAAAGTATGTCCAAACTTGGATATAAGCCAATTAATTATGCACTGCAATATAAAGACCTCGAGAACATATTTTCTACATCATTAAATCCAAAAGAAAAAGATAAACGGATACAATCATTCATAGGTAAGTCAAAACAAAACAGAGATTATAAATTTTCTCTTCTGGCGTATATTGTTGAAAACTTCGCTTTTCCTCTATCTCTCAGAAGTTTAGATGACACTGAAAGAAATGATCTTAACATGATAACTGAGTATTTTATTGAAGAGGTAAGCACCAATAAAGGATATTGTGAGAGCCCATATATAACGTGTTTGAAATGGCTGGCTGGAAAAAATAAGCTTTTTGAGAATTTACAGATTAATGAGGAAAAAGAAGAGCTTTGTATTTTAAAAAATAGCGTAATTTTACATCTTCTAACAATAATAACGTCATATAGTTCCAATGACCCAATGAACAAATCACTGTTTGAATGCTATCTAACTCAACCGGAAAAAATTAAACGCAGTTTTATGCTTGGGGGAATTTCCCTTCAAGAAAGTAATTCTGACACCAATGAAGAAATGGCTAATACTGCAAAATGCTTTTGTCCCTGTGGAATACTTGTGATTATGGAAAAAAAAACACGTAAATGAAAAAGGTGATAATTGCCCCATGTGCAAGACCACATTGGAAGATATTTTAGACTCAAACAAGCAAGATGTTGCTGTTGATGAGCCCAAAATGAGCCCATTTTTCACTGTAAGTGGATTGTCAATAGTTAGCTTTAGAGTGCTGCAGGTTATTGTGTATGCTCTCCTAATATGCAGCGACAATTTCCAGTCCAATGAGGGTATCGCAGAAAGGATAAAGAAATGGAAAGTACAATTTGATGCTTCTTGGAATATTCTGAAGTATTTATGCCTCGGATTAGATAGGAATGTATGTAAATTACTGCATTCAGTTATCAAGAACAGCAAATTATTTCTCAGTACGGAATACCCTTTTAACAATCAAATTGAACGCTACACATTTCCAGGACATGAACTGGAAAAATCTTTTGATGAGATAGTCCAGAAAGTAGTTGAGAATTTGGGATTTGTTTTTTATGAAGAGCATTCACTTTTTTCTATTTGTAATAATGAAGAGTCAATCGAATCACAAATGCATACAGCTTTCACTTTGCTAAATAAAACAAATAAACAATCACAAGCAAACCTATTAAGAGCTAGTAGTTTACCATCTGTTGATTCGTTGGTGTCTTCACTTACAATGAAGATAGCCTCAAAAAATATTCAGCATCAATTTCTTCTCCTTGTGTGCAAGTATAGGAGACGTCTTGAATGTTTAAAACATCTGTTTCCAATTCTTAGCTGGACTAATATGTTAAAAGATAACATTAATTACAAAATATCCAAGCTTGATTCAGATAAATACAGCATATCACTAATATTTGAAGGAAATTATTTTAAAGTGGATGAACATACCAAAATGACATATGATATGTTTCAGGAAGCATGGAATACTTTGAGGGCAAATGAAGAGTTTAAAGATTTAAATCTTGTTTTGATGACTAAAGAAAATAAAATATCTTCCTGTTTGTTTAATTGCTCTTCAGAATTGGAAATGTTGGTACAAAAACTAATGTCCTTCCAAAATAGTTTCCTAATGGAAGTACTAAACATTTCCCTAACATCTACCTGTTTTGCAATACATATGCTAAAGAAAAATGAATTCACAAGTGCAATATCCTACACCACAATTTTTCAGGCAAAAAAACATGAAATTATCGATTTTAAATGGGACAATGATATACTGAAACATTCTGAATGCAGCACGAAACTTGGATATGGCAATTTAGTGTTTTATGATTTTTCCACAATTGAAATAGAGTTATCAAAAAAGTTGATCCTAGGAAAATCGTTTCTACAAGTTGGAAATGATTATTCCATCAATTTTTTGGAAGAAGTATTATTATGCAACTATTATTTGTTAGACGAAATAAGGCAAAAAATTAAACAACTTCCAATTCCAAAAGGATATACAGATATCATTAAAGAGAAATCAAATACAAGTATAGACACAATTAAACAACTGCATAATGTAATTGAAATTCTGCTTTCATTACTTAAAAGAACAGAGGGCAATTCACTCCAGCCTCTTAAAGAATATATTGCGGCATTCTCACGTTTTCTTCCGCATGAACATGAAAAATATTTGATCCCAGAGACAGAAGAAATTCTAAAACTTCATCATATTGTGAGTTTATATGAAACCATTGAAGATAACCTGTCTGATTCTGCAAAAGGCTATCTTAATAGTGAATTCAAGATACACTTAAATGAACATTCAAAAAAACTACTTGAAGATATGGCATCAAATGAAGATGTTGTGTTCATTAAAAACAAGCTGAAAGTATTGAAAAAGTATGCTTACCGATACTACAGATCTCAAGGTAAGATCAAATTATTTTTCTTATACGCATATACATTTTAATCATATCGTTTGATTATCCTGGATGGCCCAAATGAGTCTCAAAATTATTTTCAGAAGGGGACTGCAATCCTTCAGTTTCAATTCGTGTTTAGCATGTGGGTGGAAATTCGAGTTCTTGGAAAAATAGCCATGCAAATGAGAGAATAATACTCAAGAATTCCACGTAAATTGATTCAATCCAATGTATGTACAGTATCCTGGCCATCTCATAGCCCAGTAGGGGGAGAAGGTTTACAAATGTGTCATCAACCAATCCTCGTTCCAAAGTTCTGTATCGCAGGCATGCACAAACACACTGGGCGAAATTAGGAATTTTTATAGCAACTATTTTTACATCCAGATATAACGAATTCATATAATCAACAATGTTTAACAATCACCTCCCGGTTTACCAGCAATTAATACTAAACACACCTCAGGCAAGTCAAATCTCTAAAACGTCCCAACCCAGGCGTATAGAAATCAGATAACATGCATCATAAATGGACATAAGTAAAACTAATAACTCTCGACTACAAAAAAAATCATAACATTTTTACTTGTGTAATTCAGAAGTAAATCTTTTTGGGCGGCACTGTTGTGCAGAGTTAACACTTGTGCCTCACAACAACAAGAGCCTGGTTTCATTCCCAACATGGGCACCGTCCTGTTTTTAGTATGTTCTCGCTTGAACTGTATGGGTTTCCTCCAGGTTTCCTCCTTCCTCTGAAAACTAAAAACACATACAATATACATGGTATTAGCTAAACATCACAATGTAGAAAAAGTACTCTGTTAGGATAACAAATAGTTGCAAGCTTAAACTGTGTAGGACCTTCCCGAAAAATAATCTTGAGACTTGGTGAGGCTTTCCTGGGCAAACAAGCTTTCGATTAAGTTTCACTTGTTATGTTGGCATGGTTTGCATTTTACAATCAGACTCCTATAAAGGCATGATACGTACCCTGTTGTCTGTATGAAATTTGTAGAATGCGTGTATTTACCTGATATATAAGAAATTTTAGATTTAAAAATATATGTATGTTGACCAAATTATTAGAAATAATATTTAATTTACTCAGCAATTGAGGCCACATTCATGTACTCAATTAATGTACTGTTTGAGATATTGGGCCAGTTCCTGACAAGAAATGTTTCATGTGAGAAGATACTCGAGAAACCAATTGATACACACATAAAACATCGCAATATGCAGAACACATTCGGATTTAATTTATATATTTGAAAAAAACACATGTAGAGGTAGACAATGGAGAAAGGTTATTGTTAAAGTCTGCTCTTATTTAATATGTAGCTGATTCATAAATTGTAAGATTAACCTAAAGTTTTGGAGCATTGTAATAATGTTAGGTGATTAACAGTGTTTATCATAGGTGCATTTTGACACCCACTTTGTTCATTATATGTTATTTTGTTTCGTAAAACTATGCACAGAGCAGACAGGGGACTGCGAAGTGTGTCTGCCATGGCATGCTTTGAGAAGAGAGGGTGTCCTATGAAAGGGAAAGTAAATAGCCATGCCACAGTTGTTACAATTTTGGGGATAGACCTGCAAAGTTTATGAAAGATAGCAGAAATTTGGAGTTGTCCTGTATAAGCATTGGCACACAGAGGTATGGGAACTGGGTCCAGTTTGAAACTGGATGCTTTCATGACTAACCTTAGAACTATTTAATTGTTTTAATGAAAATATTACATAATTACAATTTTGACAATGCAGCATGCAGGCCCTTAGGAAGCCATACAAATGTAAAGCCCATGTTTTTTTATTGATTTATGTTGGAAAAATGTTCCACATTAATGTCTCTTGTTGTTTCTTAGGATGTACATATAAAAATATTAAATTAGATAAAAGCCTTCAAAACGCAATTGAACCTTTGGAAAAACATGTCTTCATTGGATCCCAAAGCAACACCGGTGAAAATAAAGTTGTTTTCAAGATTCCTGAAGACATTAATATTGAACATATGTACGACGTCATAACCCTGCTGGAGCGAATATTAAAGGTTGGTTTTGTAATACATGTTTACCAGAAAGTTTGGACAACAGGCAAAAAAAGAAACATTCCAAAATATCAGCTGAAAAACTTAAACTGTATTGACTGTAACAATTAAGGCCTTATATTACTTAAGTATTAGTACCTTTCAAATTTTTGGCAAATATGGAACTAATTGTATTATTACGTTAATGGCATCTCGTCTGGCCAATATTCAGTGTTTCTGGCCTTCAAACTACGTCTGAGATTAAAATTAGTGTATTGACTGTGTGCACCTGAACATTGGAGGTTCTATTCATGCATTGTTTCCGTTGACCATTGTACCTTATAAGAGTAGATCTTCAGATGTTTGTCAAAAAATCATTCTGATCCTGCCAATAAAATATATATCTACCATTAGCCATTTCTACCAGAAATTCGCTCTAATTCCACCATGCTTAAGTTTGCAGAACGAAATTACCCATAGTGGGAGGGGCTATGCTCCAGCTGTGATTACAGTCGTAATAGTGGAGTAGGTATTGTAGGACATTCACTCTTGCTCTTTTGGTGTATTGATCTTACCACAAAATAGACTTTTTTTACAAATAAGTTCGATCCTTGTGAATCCTTACCTTCACAACTCACAAACCAGTATACACACACTGACATCTCTTCATACACTTTGCGACTACCCCAATGTACTTTCGTCCTCATTGCGATGGGAAACGATCTATCTCACTGCGAGACACGATGTTTCACTGCCTCTTAAGTTACAGAGACATCACAGGACGTCGTGATAGTCGTGCCCGACACAAACATAACTCATACCCGCACTTCCAATACATATTCCCTATATTCTGCAAGTAACACCACATCCAGGCCCGCAAGAAAGATGATGGTTGCCCACAACCGTTGCCTTGATCTTTACACACAGCTATCTAAGGAGCGATTTCCCACGTCATCCGTCGTGCAGCACACTTGCACACTCAATTCGATGTTTAATATTTCCAACACTCATTCCAAAACACATACACGCACCCGACACCTCATCCTCCACCATGTAACATGTGACCGAGAGAACGGATTGGCGAAATTGAGGTTTAGGTGCTCCTTTGTAGCAGGGCTAGCCTCTTTAAAAGGATAAATTTACGAGTACAATGCCTGTGTCTACCGCACTTATTTAAACTAATCTGCCCACCCCGCCCAACTCAGCACACGCAAAAATACACTTCATACAAGTTAGACTTTTTATTTCACAGATCCATACACTTAATTGAATGATGTGTGAGATTCTAAAGCTTTCCAAATTTTGCGAGTCTCATCTGATATGCTACCTCAGGGAACAAGCCGATGTTATCTTCATATTTACATGTCAACTGGCTTTTATTGTGTCTAATGGAAAGATACGAAGCAAGTTAAAATCGAATCCAAAGTTTTGCACAACGACATACATATTGTGTGTAGATTCCATATTACATTTCTCTTTTTACCCCTATTTTCGTCATTGGCCTTATTCCATAAAAACTGATGGGCCATAGGTGCATCCAGTGGTCCCATGATTATCTGGAAGTCTGATATGGCTAAATCCTTTTGCATAATCACCGATCCTGTCCCAGCACCAACATCTTCAACACAATGGGACTCTCGAAGAAGGAAGGATTCATGTGCTCTGTATTGTTGAAAACTGGCACTCACCACAAAATAACCTTTCTTGAGCAGAGGTTGTTGAGTTTTTATGTGTATGAAGGTGGCTGTAAATCTGGAAGAAGTAGCGGACTAGCTGTATTTTTGAGATCATACCTTAAAATTAACCCCCTGAAACTTTAATTTCAACGTCTGTTGGCATCTGTCCATCTTTTCTCGTCTAATAATTGAAACTAGTTATTTACCGACCGCCAAAGTTAACCTCTGCATTCAGTGATGATTTCTGTAGACCCATCATTGATCTGAGCTTCTCCAAATCAAGAATTATTGGGAAAAATTACCCTGTTTCATTTTCAGGTTAGAAAGACAGGTTGACAAAAGCCGAACCTTATCATTTAAGGGAGTGGGAATCATATGACCCTATTTGACACAACACCTTATTTTAAACCTACGTGCCTCAAATGTGAACGGACCATGGTGCGGTGTGTATTAAACAAATGCATTGATAAGTTGTACTTCCTAAGTATTCCTAAGTACAACTGCTTCCTAAGTGCAACTGCTTTTTGTGTTGTGTTTTCTGTCCTTCCTCTGCACCTCCAATTACCACGTTTGTCTATGCACGGGGGGGAAAGAAGTTAAAAATACATATATACATATATTGTGTATTTTTTTTTAGTTGAGAGCAATGACACCCGTTCACCACAAGCCTAGAATGTTGGGTCAAAAAATATTTATTGATCCAAGGACTATTGTCAACCCTCAAACGTTGTTCGTGGATAACCATATTAGAGCACACCAATAAAAAAAATCATCAATATTAAGACGACTCTAACCAATTTATACGTTAATTAAAAAGCCATAAGATACAATATAAAAAAGTTGTGCAATTGCCAGTAAAATATGTTCTCTGAAACAAATTTCAGTACCTGCAACAGTTCTGCAGACAAATTCTTACAGCCTTTCAGACCACGAGTGGTCGACGAACCACAGGTTGGGAACGACTGCTATGAATGTTCAAGTGTGATCACAGTTGGATATGGTACACTCATGCATACGAAAATAAAAACAATTCTGCAACTACCAGCGAACAAAAACCAGCAGCATTTGTGATCCCTGCCATGCTATTACACTTATAATATATTTTGGACCCTTCATCTAGGCATGTAATATATTAGAAATGTACTGTGTTTTGTGCCTGTCTGCTTTTAAACACTTGATAACATAGGAATATGTATACAAACCCATACAACACACATGTAAAACTTCTCTTCTAACTCTGCCCTTCCAGCCTGTAGCTGTGACACAACATATATTTAAAAACATTGCCATTGTCAGGCATCTATCTGTAATTACAATAGAAAAACCGTACCCAATTGTTAAAGTGCGAGCTTGATGATTTCAAACAAATTCGTCTGCTGAAGCATTCATGTGACAACTTTATCAATTAGTTGTGTGAGATGGAGGACGGTTTCAGACACATTTTACAGTCTAATCCAAAATGTATTATTAATTATTATTTAAATGAGTAATTTTCAACAGTCATTTACGATGGGATTGATATTATAAAGTAAAATGATAAAATAATGTGCTTTCATAGACATTTTGATGTTAGAAAAATTCATAGAAAGGTTCAGAGAGGTTATCTGACACATCATAACAAGTTATGGTATCAATCGAGAATAAGTTATCAAAATGTAAGATTTACACTTTGGGAAACTGTTGCAATCATGAACGCTGTCAATTACCAAACAGAATTAACATTGTAACTGACAATTAAACTGTTTTTTTTTCAGGACAAAGAGTATGTCATTATTCCCGTGATGACACAGAGAAAAAAATTCCGCAAATTTTGAAAATTAACCAAATATTATGAAATGCCACCCATTCATTGTGTGCATACAGTACATCAATAGTATAAATTACAAATTAATTAATGCAGCACAATGTAATACATGTGATGCATAAGGTGCATCCTGATGCCTTTTTTAAGTTCAAACTTATTATCCCACTTTTACATTATATTTACATGTACTGAATCAAAGCACATCACCCCACCTCCACAGGACTGCGGATAAACATGCACATTTTATGTACAGATTGAAATATATGCAATGACATTTTCATGCTAAAGTATTTTTTACCTAAATTATTTAATAAGCAGTAAATATAAACAAACTACGGTTGAATATAAATATATTAGGTACATTACTTTTTATATTCTTAGTTCTTTCGGTAAAGTCACGTTATTTTGTTGTTTCCCTTCAACGTGACTTTACCGAAAGAACTAAGAATATGAATTACTGCAGTCACGAAAGCTTTAAATCAAAATTTACATTACTTTTTCTTTAAAATAACATATTAGACACAGCATTATATCATTAGTTATATTCTACATATTATCTGACACCTTGATATAGCATATATTAGAAATATTCATATCATAGTATACATTACTTCTCAGAATAAAGGTTATTTGAGAGATGTTTTATTGATTTTGTTAGACAGGTTATGTTATGTTAAAACATAATTTTTTGTATTACTATAATAATAAAAAATATATATGTGGTTGATTTACTGGGGCTTAACAATCGGAATCTAATACAATGTTTGTGGTTGATAACTGAAATAAATGTGTTCTTATTGGTGTATACTTAGAATTGCTTGTGTTTAATGTCTGGCGTAATAAAATATACATTTTAACAACGAGATTACACCTAATTTTTTCATTCAAATCAGAGTACATTAATGAATAAAAGTTTCTTATAACTGCGATTAGTGGCAGGGAGATTTGTTTATTCATAGTGACTGAACTCATATAAATGAATAAAAAAGATCCTTTAAATAAATGTTTACTCATTTAATAGAAGAAGCGCTTCCATATTCGTACATGGAATAAGAAGGTGTATCGAGCACCCAAACAGGACTCATAGTTCATAGTTCCATTTATTTGGTATAACCCTGTGAGCCATTTGGCTCTTGAATCGGGTGCAACCGCAACAAACAAAAACATGAACAAGAAAACATCTTAAAGTGACTATGTGACTGCGCAAACAGAAAATCCAGGAAAAAAAACATCAAAATATTCCTGAAATAGCACCGTACACCAACGCTGTGTGCAAAAATCCCAGTGGGATGCAAGTCAACAACAACAACCACAAGACAACTAATATTAATATCTCTGACATTTATATATGTGTAGTGTTGGATTTCACTCGGACAACTTCTGTCTTTCTTCGAACACCACTTGATTTACAACTCTCAGCATGTCCTCCACATTCCACAGTATCCTGGTCGCCACGGCTCGCTCGCCGTGCTTCACTCGACTCGCTCGCCACCTTTGTCTCTCCACTCCCCACGATTACTTCGCTTACTCCGCCGCTAACTTCTTCATCTCCGCTCTCCGCTATCACCGTCACTATGCTCTCTCCACTGCTAACTACTTCGTTTCTGTTCACCGCTATCACCGTCACTATGCTCACTCCACTGCTAACTGCTTCGTCTCTGTTCACCGCTATCACCGTCACTATGCTCGCTCCACTGCTAACTGCTTCGTCTCTGTTCAGCTCCGCTATCGCTACGCTCTCTCCACTGCTAGGTATTCTCGTCTTCAGCTCCGCTATCGCTACGCTCACTCCACTGATGGCTATTCTCGTCTTCAGCTCCGCTATCTCTACGCTCTCTCCACTGATGGCTATTCTCGTCTTCAGCTCCGCTATCGCTACGCTGTTTCCAAGCTCCCTCTCCCACTCTGTCTCCAAGTTCTCCACTCTCCAATTCCCCGCTGTTCACTCCGAGCTCTCCAACTTCAACCACCAACCCTCAGCTCCGTCTCCCAGCTCTCCAAACTCCAACTCCCCGCTCCAATTGCCGACCCCCCAATTTATCCCCGCTCTCATTACTCCCCAATTAATTAACCCGCGTCCCAAGGCACTCTGCGTGACCTACACCTGTTCCTCGCCAGACTTCCAGATGCCCCTCCAGCCCTGGCAACAGCACCAACCAATCACAGCCGTCCTTGGCTCTCCCAGCTTAATTGCCCTAACATAACCTGCACTGTATTTGCCTTCGCTACAGGCTGACCCAACATGAACCCCAATGACTTTGCCTTCACAACAGGCTGACCCAACATAAACCGCACTGTGTTTGTTTCCATGCAATACGCATTTTTCTACTCCACTACATATGCTTTAGGATATGCCAAACAAGAAAAAAATATGCGAACAGTGTATATTTTGGGATGAACTTGCTCTTAATTCTAGATTTGAAGTTTTCGTGAATACAAGGATCCACGTAGGTGAAAATAAAATAAAAATTAAAAACAACTCAATTAAATCACGACGTTTCGGAGCCAACACAAGCTTCCGTATTTATCAGCTTAACTTCCGCCTCCGTGTTCACACGCCGGCTTAACTTAGCTTATCCCCCCCCCCGACTCCACATGGCGCCCCCCCCCCCCTTAACTTGGCTTCTCCCTCCCTCTTACCCTATATAATCACGTATCTCTATTAGCTCTCTTCACTTACTACAGTGATTTTGGCTGTAACAGTTCCACCTGAAGACAGAAGCGTGTGTTGCCTCCGAAACGTCGTAATTTAATTTAGTTGATTTTTATTTTATTTTCACCTACGTGACTTTACCGAAAAAAACAATGAGTATGAATCCTTGCAGTCACGAAAACTTCAAATCTAGAATTAATAACCTCTACGGGGAGGATTTCCACTTATCTGGTAGAGTTTTTAACAGACAACAAGATAAGAAGACAGCTTATCGAGACGCTAACCTTCCTCAAGAGATGCCGCGACAATAAGGTAATACCCATCGCTTTCACACTCACATCTGCTGCTGTGTCTTCACCGAACGCTAAACGGATTTTGTTTAAAGCTAACCAATCACTAATCTCAGAGAGAATAAGATTGCTCCGATTTGAACTCGATAATGTAGACAAGATTCTTTTACAATCACATTTAATGTTAACACAAAAAATGTCCACTTCCGATTGGGACCGTGTTGACAACATGACAGCCTCCTCTGCGAATTAATTGTCAACCAAATGTAAAGCTAACCTGATCGCTAAAGTCAACCTCCTATCAAAGAAGAAGCCAGAGCCACACATTACAAAGTTAGATGTCAACAAGATTATTATTAATCAGAATAACATCTCAATTTCTGACAATCTAAAAAACGGTACTAGCTAAAGGGCTGAATTTCGCAGTTACCCCTAAACATATCCCAGTGGAGGATATAATCTCCCAGGTCGATGAAGCCCTCAAAGGCTTAGGACACATCCAAACGGACGTTGCTAGAGCTGAAATAGCCACTATCCTCAAAAATGCTAAGAAACCCATTAGCAACATCAGCAAAAACTAGCGCTCTGAACTCACATTGAAAAAAAAGGGATGACGTCATCATCTCAGCCGACAAGGGCAATGCCACTGTTATTATGGATAAAACCACATACAACAACAACATACAGGAGCTACTCAATGATGGCAGCTACTCTAAAATCAATAGAGATCCGATTAACAGCCTAACTACTAAAACCAACAAGATCATTACCAGTTCTACTTCCCTAATCGAACCAGTCAAGCGGCTCTCCCTAAAACCCCCGGCTGCTAGACCACCCAGATTCTATGGTCTTCCCAAGATCGTGTCCACGATCAACTCACCTACCTACAAACTAGCCCGTTTTCTATCGGACACTCTGCTTCCCTTTACTGGCAAGACCACTTCAGCGGTACTTAATTCAACTCACTTGATCTCTCTAGTCAAGGACATTTCACCGTCTCCTGAAGATGTCCTCATCAGCTTTGATGTGGTCTCTCTATTCACCAAGGTTCCAGTGCCTGACACCATAACAATAATTGAAGACTTAGTCCAACATGGACTGAACCCTGATGTTCCTGCTATGGTTAGGCACTGCTTCACCAAAACGTACTTCACCTGGAATGGTACCTTCTACAAACAAAATGAGGGTACCCCTATGGGTTCCCCCTTGTCACCAGTGATAGCCAATGTCTTCATGGAGAAATTTGAAACAGACGCCATCCAGACATCCACCCTGCATCCTTCCCTATGGAAGAGATATGTGGATGACACTTTCGTCATTTGTCCACATGGCCTACCAGCATTGAACCAATTTCTCGACCACATTAACTCCATACACCCATCCATCAAATTCACCATGTAAGTGGAAAAAGATGGCAAGATACCATTCTTAGATGTTCTGTTTGAGAGGAGGTCCAATGGCTCTTTGGGACATTCTGTCTACAGGAAGGCTACCCACACAGATTCCTATCTGAAGCCTGATTCCCACCACCATCCGGCACAAAATAATTCCCTCATCAAAACACTACACCATAGGGCCCACTACATCTCTGACCAACACCACCTGGCCAGTAGATTAGAACATGTACACCTGGCCCTCAAGATGAATGGATACTCAGACCGTACTATCCGCAAAGCTGTTTCTCCTACCGTGGAGAAACAACCCCCTGAGACTCCTATCAAAACCATAACGTTGCCATACATAGCAGGCGTGACCAAAAATATTTCCAAAATTCTAAAAAAACACAAGATCCAGGTTCGATTCAGTACAGTACACAAAATCCGTGATCTGATTCCATCTGTAAAGGATGTCATTCCTGACTTACAGTACCCTGGTGTCTACAAACTGAGTTGCATTTGTGGTGATTGTTATATCGAGGAAACGAAACGACATGTATCTGACCGCATTCGCGAGCACAAGTCAGATTTGAAACACGGTAGGACGAATTATTCTGCCGTAGCTGACCATTGGTACAACGCGGCGGGTTCTCATTGTTTTCTCCGATACCAAGGTACTCTGTAAGACATCTGGATACTACCAAAGATTTGTCCATGAAGCAATCCAGATATACAATCATAGACATAACTTCAACCGAGAGGATGGATTCAAATTGAGCATTCATTGGAAGGATGTCATCAACCAAGTTAAACTTTAGCTACCTTATAGTTTATATTCATATTTCCAGTCTTTTACTCCCAGCTTTGCACTCTACCATCACTAAGAAATTTGACGTACGGTGTTTTCAATCGTGTAAAATTGTCCCCAATCCCACTCTCCCCCCCCTCCCCCCCCCCCGTGGTACATGCAGCTTATCGCCCCCTCCCCCCGACTCCACACGGCGCCCCCGAAGCCTCTCTAATCTCCATGCCCCAATACTCACCCTCCCCCCCTCTTCTGCATAATAAATAGATGTTATCAATCGGCTTAACTTACCGTTCCTATTAATCAGCTCAACTTCCACCCCCGTGTTCTCCATACCCCAATACTCACCCTCTCTCTGCTCGTTTGGTACAGCTGAATGCTGCAATGCGAGTCTTGGAGAGAGTAGTCAATGTGTCCTCTCAGCTCGATTGGTACAGCTAAATGCTGCAATGCGAGTCTTGGAGAGAGTGGTCAACGTGTCCTCTCAGCTCGGTTGGTACAGCTGAATGCTGCAATGCGAGCCTTGGAGAGAGTAGTCGATATCTCCTCTCTGCTTGATTGGTACAACTGCACGCTGCAATGCGAGCCTGGGGAGAGAGACCGTTTAAAATTCCCCCCTTACGGCCGACGCATGTGATTTTATGATTGAAACGCCGCATCGGAAAGGCAGGGGGTGCTAACGGGTGACATGAGATGTCCATAGTAGTCCTCAAGAGAGGGCTGCTGAGGTTTCGAG